TGAGATAATGAAATTTCATGTTTCCCATAGTGCCAATCGGTTCACATATTCATTTCTTTATATGTCATTTACAATGAATGGATGATTTAATCAATAAACTGAATAATTGCATGCATAGTTATATAAACGAATAAAGGAAAAAAGGGATTCGTCACGATGTTATACCATTTGTTTTACTGCCTTCAAGTTTTTCATCTTTTTTAAGAATTCCTTTTATCGATGACGGGGTCTTTGGTGTCTTTGTTCCCCTGCAAAATAATAAAAAACGTCTTAGAATTTCATACATTTCCAAGCAATTTCGTAACGATTAACAATTTCAAACGACTAATTTAGTCATGATGACGTACTTGACAACACTGCCAGACTGTGCGCGGCCAATCTTGCCCGCCAGGGACTTGATATGCTGCTTGAATTGAGTCAGCCATTTTTCCAACCAGTTCAGACATATTTCGCGAATGCGAGGTTTCCTTCTCATGTCAACCAAWTGCTAAAAAAGAAGAAAAACAAGATATTTCAGCAGTGGAAATAAAAGATCAAGAAAGATGAAAGCAACTATTTACCTCTGTTTCAAAACTGTCCAATTCTTTTGGGAAATATCTACCAGGATCTCGTATTTTTATTGCCACAAAGATTTCTTGTATGAGGCCTCTGAATATAGTGAAAAAAGTAATCATTAACATTCAAATGCTTTTCTTGAAATAAGCAGCTCAAACTACACTCACAACCATAACTATGAAAGAAAGAAATCGTTTGAGAACATCAAAAGGAAAACTTACCTAACTTCTTCATCCCCATCAATATAGTGCGCCATTAGTTCAGCTACAAATGACTTGTTCAGTATATTCATAATCTGCAAAAGCTGTAGGCTGACTCGGAGGAACTGCTTCGCAGCGGACGAGCCATGAGCCGTTGGGGGGTTTGGAACGTTGAGTTCGGCAAGAAGAACTCGACTGACTCGCTCACAGCAGCTTTTCTCGAAAGGATCTTGACGATTTAGGAGCAAAATAGCCTGAAATTTGGAATAAACTGATGAGAAAAAAAGGCTCTTCTTCCTTGACATCGCTATCATCCTATTCGGAATGTAACCTACCGCAAGAATTTGTGTCTTGAGTTCATGATCAGAACATTTTTGTAGAGTTTGGAGCAACAAATCCACAAAAGTAGCAACAGTCCATGGCTTTGGAAATGTCTGCAAACAAAAATTTGAACCCTTATCAATACTGATTATAATCAATTCTGATTATAACTTTCTTACAACTGAATAAAACATTAAAATTTGCAGGTTTGACAAAAGAAAGATCCATCATTTAAACTTTGGATTTCCTTTTGCCAGACATTGTAAATAATTCATCTACTAAATGCCTATTTACACCAGCAATTCTGCCGCGTTTCTGACCTGCCGTTACAAAGGCATGGTTTTGGAGACAAAATTTTTTTGCTGTTGTTATCTAAATTACGACTACTTCTAAGTTATGTTTGGTGTAAGGGTAGCACTACTTACCTCAGGGCTGGCGTTGGGAAAGTATTTCTCAAACCACAAAGTCCCCTTGAACTGTGTTATGAACTCTGGTAATGGTGTCGCAGGGGGTGGAGGCGTTGGAGTAGGTGTTGGCTCTCGTGGAGGAGTTGGCCTGGAATGTTCATGAGTAATAGTAAGAAAATGATTCAAGGTTTCATGCCGTGAGAGATTGTGCAAAACACAGGACACCAGAAACTTACACTAACATAGTATAGTTGGTAATTGGCTTTACTGAATTTGATGATGGCCCAGGGCAGCATAACCTGTTTATTTTGCCATTAGGGTTTATGCTTTAATTCTGAGTTATTTTTTACTTCAATTTCAAAATATTTTTCGAGGTGTCTGAAGATTCAGATGAAACTTTTTCCAAGAGTTCATACACACAGGATGAAGACTGCAATTCCCTTTTATAAAATGAAAGAAAGAGATTGCTATGCATGCAGAATAGAAGAACATTCCTAAAACAAGATGTGTACAAAGATAGCATGCAGMAGGCATGCATGGGAATAATACTAAAATACCTTTCAATGGGCGGAATAACTCTACGTTTAGAAAGRCGACTCTGAGATGGCTTCAAAATCCTTCTATTCTGTCTTGTACCACCCAACACATACCAACCAATATCTGGTGGCAATACCCTCGCCATTGGCGAAAAAGGTTCTGCAACAAGGGTCCGAGTACCGGTGGTATCACCYCCAAAGCTCRGAACCCGCTGTACAGACAGAGGAGAGTGATTGGCCATAGCAGCTTGGCCTGTAATYAGTTTAACCTCYTTTGAGCCAGATGATTGAGTGGGTAGATTWGGRCTGTCTAAAGTTGTTTGATAAGAGTTATTGAGTTCACTATTAGGTGATGTTTGAGGGTTTTTGATGCTGTAGTTCTTGCMACCACGATCATCATTCACAYRATGACGATTATCATCGTCATCATCATCATCACTATGACTACCACAACCATTCCCGTTGTTATCATAATCATCAGTATCATAATCATCAGTATCATAATCRTTATCATCATCGGTATCATCGTCATACTTTTCGTCATCAGTATCATTATCGTCTTTATTTTCATCATTGCCATCGTGTACTTCTTCTGTTGGTGTTTCAAGAGTGGTACTTGATTGGTTCAAGTTACCACGTGATTCAGACTCACTCACATTGAGTTCACTGCATTCAGAAGATATTGCATTCTTTGAAATAGTTTTTTCATTTGATGAAAACATATCTTCATTTTTCATAGGTGTAGACGACGAAACGTCGGAATCAAAAACCTCTTCGTTAAAATCCAAACCGCTAGACTTTCCTGATGGAGCAGAAGAAGGTCTTAAAGATTCTGAACTCTCGACATCCTTCGTTCCCACTTCTCTTGCGTTTGAAAATATTTGGTCACATGATAAAGGTCTATGTTGGTCTTCCTGTGATTGAAATTTCCGATGGGGGACTGGTTGACCGATTTTTAATTGGCTAAGTATATCATATTTATCATTGTCAATTGAGCCAATGGACGACCAGGAAGATGTAMTGGAAGGTCTAAATGTTTGAATACTGGAATCACAGTGAGAAGAAGAAGAAGTGTTGAAACTGTAGTTATCGTTGGAGTTGTCGCTGTTGCAATCGTTCTTGTTGTTCGTTTTCCCAGGGCCATTGTCATCAGAACTGCTATCCCTCTCTACTTTATCTGTCACAGACAYCTCTAAAACTACATTTTCAACGACAAACACTTTTGATGACCTCTGCTTGTTGAATGGATCCACAAAGGAATTGCGTTCTTCTTGCGTGTTGAAATCGGGAGAGTCACTCGATGATGTTGGATAGTCGGAGAGAAATTCTTCAACAGTAAATGAATCATCAGGAGAATAGCTGGAACCACTAAATCCTGCACCTAAAGTACTGGGTGTCGACATTGGTCCAGTGGAATGGTTATCTAGTGAAAGCATAGCTGATGAATTAGATGAAAGAGAAGAATTTTCCACCGCTGTACAACTTTCTCTAGTCTTCGTAAATGAGAGACTGGGTGCATCACCAAAAGCGTTATCTAGGGGAGGACGATCACATGTTACCACAMCCTGTTGGATTATTGATGCACCAGAACTATTTACATGTGTTATAGGAATATTTGGCAAACTCAAATGCTCTTTTGCATCAGCAAGACAACCATCTACATTGCTGAGAGAATAAACTACCCTGTTCCCCCCTGAAGAACTAGACGTGGGTATCCTTGTTAGCGTTAAAGTCTTGGTTTCTAAAGGGGGAGGGATGACTGAGTAATCGGYTTTAGTTGTACCCTCTTTGCTTTGTGGGGCAGCGTCTGTCAACAGTGGGAGAGGCAAAGCAAGTATACCGTGATTGGTCACGTAATYATTACTAGTCACGCAATCCATATTGATATTGTTACTACCGATGTTAAGGTGGCATCTGCTATCATCATTAGAGACCTCACGATTAGTCTTTTCAGATTCCTCAATAACTCCTTTAGGTATATCAAAATTGTGTGACATACCATCTTTATATGACATCTCACGTAATCTACGTAAATCTACGTCATAAGMCGTTGTCATTTCTTTACGATGTACATGCATCGATGCATGACTTGTTTCATCAGGCGCATGGATGACAAGCTTTGGAATATTAAAAGTGTTTTTCTTTGGGTAATCACGCAAGGAGATATCTTCATAACGAAAATTGCTGTCACGGTCACGCTGATTWGTAGCCTGCTTAGGGTATTCACTATCAATGGAGTCCTCTGAGCTAGATCTAGCAGTTACAGTTTTATGGTAGCTAGGGTTTCTTAAAAGAAAGCCATTTCCATCGAATTTACTTGCTGAATCTTTCAATATCGCTGGAGCATGCTCAGCTTTGGCATCATTACCACGTGGCAGTAATGGCGCACAGCTTTCTGTCCTAGATGCTACTAAACCAACTTTGTCACTACTGCTTTTGCTCACTGGTTTCTGCACAATTTCTCTCTTAGTTTCGGAGCTATAGCTCTTTTCCTTCTTGGTTGCCATAGTGTTATTCGTCATAGYAGCCGTTGTCATGATAATGGGTGCCTTGGTAGCCGTTGCTGTGGACGCTTCCATGGCAGCTGTTTCCATGGAATTGGCATCTTTCTGTCTTTTTGATGATCTTCTGGAGTTATATTTTGCAGAAGTAAAAACGTTATTGCGGTTATTGGTACCCTTTATGTCTTGTTCTTTCTGTTCGCCCTTTTTGACTCTTACACTCTGAGAATCAAAGGCTACCTTTTTGTCATTCGAATTAGCGTTTTTAGACTCTAGAAATCGAGATGACAAAGAAGATTTGAGGCTTGGTCATCAGCAAGAGGCAAGATGAGAAAGTATCAACAGGAAATGAAAAAGAAAATGTAAGTTAGTAAGTTAATCATATGAACATAAAAATCATTATGACGAGACAATCAAGCAGATCGTTGAATTTCATTCGTTTTGCAAAGAAACTGCTCACTTGCTCAATGAGAGAATGTAATAGATAACTATACCCCTATTAGACCTCATATAAAGATACGATTTGGCCAACTTGCAGCAGTAGTTTTGTTGCAGTTCAAGTTCAATTAACATAGTTTAAGAAAATAAAGAGCAACGATGCTTCAGAACATTGAACGTATTCGCTTCTCGTATATAATGACATTGTATTGCTACTGCAATGTATTGCTACTGCAATATCGTAGATCCGTCACAAGAAAGAGCTCAGTTCTCTTTGCGGTATTTGTCACAATTATCGTGATTTATATCACATTGAGAAACAACTTCAGGTCAYATATAGAATGGAAATAAAGGAAATAGATTTATTGGAAACAAATTGTAAAGATGAACAGAGTTGATTTTAAAAGGTGATTTTACTAGAGTCAGTTGACAGAATTTTCTGAGACATTTTTTACGTATATCATTTTGCTTTCTATTGTGTTACTACTTTCGTCATAGTTAGATGATTAGTGAACGCTTTTAGTGATAGTACTCCAAATAAATGTTTTCGAACTTTTAGTATGCTAACAATTACATTTAGACGGCGAGTCCTCTTAGCCAAAAATAGGTTTAATATTGTTATTAATCTGCTTGAGGAAATGTGGACTCTGCAAAAACGCGTTTTCGAGCGATTAGAATGATTATATGGACACTAAGCGTAAGACAGGTTATTAAAACAAGTCATTAATAATAGAGTTAATATTTCTTTCAATAATTCATTAATGATAATTTATGGTTTACGTATTACCTGGTATCAAGTGAGGGCGATGATGAGACGTTATTTTTATCAGTTAGGTCTGAATCCAGCGGTTTACTTTGCACCATTTGAGTATGCGCATTAACTTCAATTTTAGAGTTTATTGTAGAGATTCTTACGAATAGGAAATAGAAAATATCAGTATTTTAAACATTAACGAAACTATGATTTAGAAAGGTTATCTGTATCAGTTATATTTGCAACCAGCGGTTGTTATACATTATTTGAGTATGTGCATTAACTAAATATTTTTTAGAGTTTATAGGGGACGACCTCACAGAAATAAACGACTTTGAAGGAATTATTGTCATTTGTGTGGGGTCCCTGTGTATTTTAAATGGCCTTCCTTTACCGAATCTATGCCATATATGGAAATATTCAAGATGGCCGATTGTTTAAGAAACACTTTTCGCTATAATATCTACAAGTTTCAGACGATTAATATTATAAAAATGATATGTAAAGATAGTCCATTCTTTATCAAGCTCTACTTTTAAGTAAGTAAGGGTTATCTAGCTGTTTGTACTTACGGGGGTGGTGTAGGTGGCTTTGGTCGTGATATTAGTTTCTCGATAGGCTTCACTGGTTTCTTTGGAGTCTTGGGCTTCGGTGTTGGAGGAGGAGTGGGTTCTTTGAGGGGTGGTGACGGCGGAGGGGGTGTTGGTGTAGGTGATTTCATCAGTTCTATTTCCGGTTCYGGTGTTGGAGTATCTCTTAAAGCCAGCTGCATTTGCTCGGAAAATCGGTTTGGCTTYTTAGCTGATTTCTTTTTAGGCGCAACAGGCTCTTCTTCAGGAGTTGGTATACGTTTCTGAAAGAAAGATTCAGCAATTTCTATCAGTCTCTATGGACTTGCTATATAGCATCATTCTATGCACAAATAAGATTTCGAAACTGGAGTATTGAATCATTTTACTACAAAGTTCACAACACTTCGCATATTTTGATTCTTTAAAGGGATTTTTATTGTTTTTTGGRGGATTAGTAAATCACATTACAAAACAAAATAGAAAAAGCATTCTGTGAAAGTATGGCCAACTTTAGGTGCGGRAGCGTTGTTGGGCGGTTAAGATTGGCCCAGRGGCAGCGCATTGGAGGCAGCGCCACCCGGTCAACGCATGCRCAMTATTCAACAATCCCAGTCTTACCTTCTTTCTTTTTTCTATCTCAGCAAGYTGTTCMGCCGTTAGACTTGGCGGTTTCCATATTYTATTAGGATCTTCAGCCGGTGTTTCTGACTTGAGATCTTTAAAGAGTGAAACTACMACAGAATTAGGTATAAATCCATCTGGRGCAACCACGAATTCCTCTTCTCCACTATCCCCGACTCTTTTTGAAACCATTCGAGCRGCTTTTCTTGCGACCATGTGACGACACATTGTCGACGATGGGTATCGTTCAGTCTTYGGAACRTCGATGATATATCGATCWCTTGTCGGAGAACCGATTARTGGCGGTTCAACGTCCATAGTTTTGTAGTCTTTCGTAGTCATAACAACCATTGAACGACTGCGTTGATTACYAAAGTCAGCCTTCTGAAYGTCAGCYTCGGTTTCCATGTCAACTTGAGTGCCTTGCCGACTCACAACGAAGGTACGGCCATCTTCCTCTTCGTCTTCGCCTGGTTCCGGGGGAGGCGCAGGCAARGGCTGAAACTCCGGCATAGAAAGAGACATAATCTCTTGTTTTACTACAGTAGGGCGAGGCTCCTTCACTCGAGACCGTTGTCTTGAATTTTTATCGATCCCAAAGAAACCACGAGGGCCGTGATCAGGTGTGTAGTGCTCCGGCGGTTCGTACTCTAGACATTCCTCTTTGTGGAGTTCRTCCTGGTCCGGAATTTCTACATCGGGTCGTTTATAAAATATGGCAAGGTATCGATYAAATGCATCTTGGCGGACCATCTCGCTGTTTGGACGGGGCTTTTGTTTTTGAAACTCGAAGACCCCGTCGCGTAACTGCTTGAGTTCGTTTTCACGTTGTTGAAGCTTAGCAAAAGCCTGGGGAAAAGAAAGATTTTAGTGACAGCAAACCATCACGATTCGCAGTAAATGCTTCATGTTCTTTGATGAGTATAGCTAGTAACTATAATAACTATGTGTAAACAAATAGGACGCCATATACACAAAACATAAACCACAAGCTACACATAAACTACTTTATCTCTCTTTATGGAAGCACAATAGACTTCTGAATCGTCACTACTTGATTGCAATGGATTGTGGTATCGTTTTCTAGAGAAAACAAAAGGAATCCGCCATGTTCTGTCCCAAACGTATCCTATAATGCATTGCGTGCACGGTACATGACGTAAAAGCTTTAGAGGCCTATTGTCTTCACAAGTGACTTGATCACATTCTGTCGGAAGAGTTTTTTCCTGGATATACTCTAACAGAGGTTTTTATTTTATTTTCTCATACTATATATTGGGCTCTACAGCAAATCTAATACAAACCTCGTTTCTTCGTTCCTCTTCCTGGGCTTTCTCATCCATCTCTTCCGGCGAAAGCAGGTCGGCAAATCGTTCAAATTTGAAGACAGAAGATTTGGCTTTAGTGAGRCGCTGTAGTTCGTCYGGTGATAATTTTGCTTTGACCTCYGGGGCAATAGGGAGAGCATTTTCTGAGAYTGGTCTTTGGAACTCCATGGCAACCATGCGGTATATATATGAACGAGGCATATCTGAAGGAAAAGGGAATTGATAYTATATATGATATATAGCCAAATGTTAAATCCTGTCCTATTTACTTAATCAAGAGTTGCGACCAGAAGAGAAATGCTGGTATTCCGAAAAACAGCCAAAATTGTTGGACGGCCTGAATATCAGTGATGAAATATATACACAACACTTTTCGTTGCTACGCAATCTTGCTTTTTTTTTTCAAAGAGATCAGCCTAAATTTTTCAAGTTTAATAAGTGTCCAAACACTATAAGTGAAATCATCACTAGTACCATTGAGATCATCACTATACTAATGACATCATACTATTGATGACGTCAACATCATCAATGACGTCATCGCTATTAGTGACGTCATCAGTATAAGTGACATGATCACTATATTTATGCGCATTTTTGCCCCTGCTATGATAAGTATAGTATTGCCATCATTATCATCATATCTGATACTTACACGTGGCGTATCCRATCTTATGTAGATGATTACCAATGCCTATTAATAGGTCACCCTTCTGGCTAGAGAAACACAGACTGCTGGGGACAGCATTAAGGGTTATGGTTCTCAGAAGATGGTTTGATTCGTCCCATATCCTTATAGAGCCATCAGCACTACTTGAGGCGAATAGTCTCATTTTAGGACAGCTAGCCACCCCTGTGACGTCATCTGTGTGGTCGTTATCACTGTTGTGGTCAAATCGTTCTGAAGGTAAAATACAACAAAATGAGCTGTCGCCTTAGGGACTCTCGCTATACACCGGTCATTAAATTACGGTTGAAAAAATTATGGTAGAAAACTCTATTTAAATTGAAATGGGAAATGTAACGCGKTAAAACGTTAGGATGTTGGGAAGAAACGATAAGGAAGGACTTGTCATGAACATTTATCAGTATWCTGAGTCTTTGCCGAACATTTCCATCTTTTACAACTATTTCAGAAAACATTGAATACTGCATACAGCAATGTACATTCCGCATTGCATTGTTGCTATCAAACTCCACGTTATCTGTGTTACAAAATTCTAAACTTGATTTATTTCACTGAAATTTCCGACTTTACGGAATCGGTATAGTCACTCTAGTGTCCTTTGCAGCCTCTCATTTTGTCGGTTTGACGAAACCGGACTTGCGGCTGTGAGAGAGACGTATAGTCACTCTGATACCACGAAAACAACGATAGAACGACCAACAATGYATTGCGGTCTTGGAAAACACTATCTTCATTATTCAATATTTTCTGAAATAGATATAATACATTATTCTTCTCTCGAAAGTGGTTTTGAACATTAAAATAGGACCTGGCGCATAAGAATCCATTGCGCAGTGCGGATACCAGGTAACGTCTAAAATGAAATGTTAGCGGGATCTAAGTTTCCAAACCTTTCTGTGTTGTCTTGAATACGACTACGTTATAGGACGCCGTGGCTGGTTCATGTAGAGAGACAAATAGTCTGTGATGTGCAACAGCAAGGTGCTTGGGTGTTTCTTGGCAGTATAGTGTCATCAATGGTGCAAGGGCTTCCTCAGCGAAAGGGAACAATCTCCATATCTTGATTGTGTTGTCTGGAAACACAAAACATATTGAAATCACGGTAATAAAAAGAGACTAATTTCATAAGTCTCGGTCTCAGCCTAATTGAAAAACGTTGTTGGTCATAAAAAGGTGATTTCATTGAAGTTTTTGGTGTTTAAACACCAAAGAGAATTTCTTAATTTTTAATGGATTTTTACTAAAAAGTACCCAGGAATCTGTATCATTGCCTAAACATGTTCCATTATAGCATTACCCGTACAGAATGTCATTTTATTCAGTGCAGGCAATCTTTTGATCTTTTGACACTGGAACAATGTTATATTCATAATATTTGCTCTCCCATGTTTCCTTTCGGTCTTAGCATCTCTACGCCTTATTAAGTCAGTTTGAATGATGATAAAGAAAACGTTACCTCTCATTTACAAAAGGAGGAATAACACAATAAGATAAATGAATAAATGAACGAAGGAATTGATGACTAAATAAATACAGTGAACAAAGAAATAARTTACCATAACTTGCAGAGATAACTTGATCTACAGCAGGATTTGCGATCATCGTGACCACCTCTTCTCGATGGGCCTATGGTTACAATGAAAATGATTAGAATTTTTTTGGAAAAACTCATAATGAAATGTATGGTTTTAAAGTTGTGTGAGAAACAGATTGAGCTAGATCCGGAAATATATGACACACCTACGGTGGAGATTAATAACTTATCACAAATTGCGACAACTACTCTAAGATGTATATTAGGTAACAGTGGCGATCTACCTCAATAAGAAAAGAAATASAACCAGGCTTTTTCTTGTTCTGCCAGTCATAGACCACAATTGTTCCATCAAYACAGCCACCGAGCAGTATCGTCCTGTCATAGGTGCTGGGTTTATTGAGTGATTCAAACTCAAGGTCTGAGGAGTTTGCTTTAAGAGTTGAACGCACTAGATCTCCCCATTGACCACTTTCAAGATTATCCTAGATCAAAAGATATGAAATATGCAGCGACGCCATTTTGTACAGTAAAGCACGATGGGAGTTTTGGTTCTCGCACTTTTTAGAGCCACTAAAAAATTTCCCTAAATGTTGTTTTTATATTTTCTTCGTATAAAARGCACAACTTTTTCTGTTTCTGCGAGACTGTTTTAGCGGACATAAARACGTCTGAAGACTACAACTCCCATCGTGAGCTGTTGCAAAAAATGGCGTCGCTATACTTTGATGCAAACAGATTTTGTAGCGATTTGGTATTTTTAGAATAATCAAATTAAAGTGTTGGTTAGAATCAAAACATAACATTGCCAATTTTGTCAAATTACAGTGCGCAAATAGATCTGTTTGCTAACGTTTTGTAACCTTTTTTCCTTGGTATCCGTTATTAAGGATTATACAATATAACTAATATGCAACTACACCTTTTAAGAAGTCTTTTCTTTTAGTCATATCCAGAAAAAAAAACACATTCAATCATTTTACGCTTGAGAATCCCCACCCAAAATTAAAAAAACTTTAAACAATTTTTTGGAATTGTGTAGAAATATTGTGTAGTACGACGGGCTTACCTCAACCACATACTCATACAGACAGAGACAAGAACAGGTACTTGGTGCTGAGAACAAATACAGAATAGTAGACTATGAGATAAATTATGCTATGATACAGTAGAATACCTCCCTACGCGCCCCCCTTTTAATACAACCAATCCGTCCAAAAGTTTAGATCCCACTGAATTAAACGTTAATACTTTTCTTCATTAATACGACCACTCCGTTAAACGACTACTTTTACCCACTACTTTGTCCCTTATCAGTTTCCGGAATAACGAGTCTCCCTATTGTAAAACAGCAAAGAAAATGTTGTAAAACTAAAAAAACGGATTCTGCTCACCTTTTGTCATCTCTTTATCCCATTCTTCGAGTATTTTGCAAGGGTTTGTTTTTGTAGATGCTTTGAGGATGGAGCCATTGGAGAGAAGAGTGAAAAGGACATCTGAAAACATGCACAGATACTTTTGAGACACAGTCAGATGAATTAGTACAAAAGACTGTAAGTAAAGAAGTGAGGAAAGAAGACTGGAAGAAATGAATCTACGGTATGTGTATAAATCCAATTTAACTATAATGATCATATTAAGTGACATGGATTGTACTGTCACACTTGCTTTGTGCAAGAATTCAATGCTTTCTTATTGACACATGGATAACAAAGTGTTGGGGTATTATGTCATTTGGGGTATTGTTATTCTTATCAATAATCCATCTGTCTGTCCTTCCTTCCATCCACCCACGAATTAATCAAACATCCATCCATCCACCCAACAGTATGTCCATTCATTCATCTTTCCATCCACCCATCTGTCTGCCCATCCATCCATCAACAATTCGACCATCAATCAACCGAATATCCAATCAACTAACAAATGACTATAAATGAATAAACCAAGAATTCTTTCAATCAATTATAGCTAAAGACAATCAAAGACATTGACTAACAGCATTTTATTGATTTATTGACTTGCAATCAATAATCATTGTTGATTAGTTGATTGTTAATGATGATTGACAGATTGATTGGTCAAATCAATGACACAGTAATTGATGCATAGAGCGGATTTCATGTGACTGTGCAAGGCACGGATCAGGACACGGCATGGCACAGTCACGGAACCTCGCCTTCTAGGATTCCAAATAAAAATAAAGATTTTTAAATCAAAATTTGAACAAAAAAAAAGTTTTTAAATGTTTTCAAAAATTTTTAATCGTTTTAAAACAATACATCACCGCAGCACGGTACGGTCACAGCGCGGAAGTACCGTGATTTTTGCACAGTCATACGAAATCTGCTCTATTATCAAGTGATAACTTACTGTCAGCTGCAGCATATACAGTATCAATAATTGTTGTCATGCTTGGAACAAGAAGTGAAGTCACGCAGGCACCTGATCCTGGGGAAATCAGTCTTATTGTATTGTCGCTACATGTGCACACCATACGAACTGGACACTGGAAGAATACAACATTTTAGAAATTTTAGAATTTAGACTCATTTTATTTGCATTTTGATAAAGAACCCACAATGGCATTTAAGTCATGTGGATCTGAAAGCAGAGATGGGAGCAAGTACTGACTACTCTTAGGGGATTTCGTGCCCTACTCTTTGTCGAATAGTTGTGTGGGTTCTCTGATGTGTAGTGTACAGTCATGGAACCAAGGTTTAACATCCTCTTCTAAGAAGACAAGGCACTGAGAGATTGAAGTGTCTTGCCTAATTTAAGGAGACTAGAATGTCATTACTGGGCATGTAGGTTTGGGGTCGTTTGTATGAAGGATGGATGAAGTTATTGATCTTCTGATAAAGTTATCAACTCCTTAGATTTTATGATTTTTTTTTTCCACTGGATAGGGATTTATCCAGTGGTCTAGCGCTATTTACACTACACACAACTGACCCCTGAAGTCCTAATGCCTAACCATTAGACTATCACACCTCAATCTTTTTTGAAGGAATAATAATTATATTGACTCTTACCCTTGGATGCGTTGAAGGCTTCATTGACTTGACTTTACTACCAACAGTCGTATACACACTATGGACATGGTTTATCTTCCACATATCAAGATTCTCACAAGAAAACGAATAAAGATCATCCTTTCCGATAGTTGTACCCAGTCCTAACACAGATCCCTTRGTCATTATCCTGTCTACTTCATCAGAGGTGTCAAGACTCCATACTCKTATAGTCTTATCGCTGGATCCTGACATGATATATGGACCATAGGGATATATTGCTAGAGTATTGACTGACTTAAGRTGGCCTACAAAGATGATTTGGATATTGCCTTTATCGTTCCAG